AGAGAGAGAGAGAGAGGGGACACAGATGCAAACACAAAGAGAAACAAAGATTGGAGACTAGTGATTAAAAGAGATTGAAAAGAAAATTACAGCTTTTTTTTACAATAGATCACACAGCATGTCTACGAACGTACACACATTAGCTTTGTGACTGATCTTTAAATCACGGTGGCCATTGTTTATGGGCTAATAAATAACAGCTGGAATGTCTGTTGAATTAAAAGAGCCCAGTCGACTAATCTAAGAACAGTAATTCAACCTGGTCCTGCAGCAGTCTGTGTGTTTGTGTCGTACCTGTTTACGTGACTTGCTGGCGCACTCCTCCAGCGTTTCTGCTGCCTCCAGTTTGCCCTGGCGACGGTACAAAGCCCCCAAACTTTTGAGGGTTGTGTTCACTGTGGGGCTGCAAGAAAAAACCACAACATTGTATTTACTTTAAAAGGTATTTCTCATTGAAGTTCGTCTTTGTTCCATTCACCTTCAGTGCATGAGATGGCTTTTGGTGGAATTGCAGCAGCAACACAGCAAGTACTCTAATACACAGTTCAGCCAAGCTACAGTCAAGGTTAAACTAATACATTAGTTTGCAGAGCCTGTTCTTTTTATTAGAACTGGGTATTAGCCATTTTTCAAAGCCAAATGGAGGTGACACAAACGGTGAACTCTCTTGTGTTGCTTTAAGGAACAACCTGATAACCCACTTACATCTGTTTTATTCCTGAGACAAACGGGGGAAGAAAAGTGTTACATTTGTTCTATGGTGGCAACCCTAAATTGATACAGAACTGATTAGAACTAGATTTTTATATTCCATTGCTTCAGTATTTACAATGAGTCTGAGCCAGTACAAGTACTCAAACACCAAAGCCTCTCTTATATTGGTTATAATTGTATTTGATGTGTTGCTTGTATGCTCTTTGTGTTTCTCTTCTTTTAATAATAGTATAATGCAAATGGAAAAAAAAAATCCCCTTGAACTATGCAGGAATGGATTGTAATATTTAAAGAAAAATAAAGAGTCCACCATTTGTCAGGTTATTTGGCATATAAATGGTTAAATATTTTTGGATTTGACAATTAGCAGTTTGATCAAAAGTAGTGTTTTTATCAGCTTTCCGATTCCTACATGTTTCCAGTGAATCCAAATGTGTGACTCACCTGTCCACCTTGCAGGCCTTATACCAGCTTCCATACTCTACATACGGGCCAGAGTCCTTGCGCTTACCCTGAGAGAGGGACAGGGATAGAGAGACAAAGGAGAGGGAGAATACGATGAAAAGAGGCCGAGAGCGCGAGGAGAAAGTATGAAACATTACCCTATTAAACAGCCAATTATAATGCCCCTGTTGTCATTTGTATAGTCTGCTGTTCTCCATTTATTTTGCCATCCAGTCCATTTCCATAATAAGCTGCCTGCCTTCAATGGAAAAGGTCAAACTAAATAACTCACCTTGCTCTCCTCTCTCTCCTCTGCGTGCATCCAGATTGGCTTGTTGTCATCTGCAAAATGAGGACAAAAAACGAACAAACAAATCAATGCCATTTCATATACAAGAACAATATCGATAGAAGACGACAACACTGTAAATAAGTTGCCGGAAAAGCAAAACAAATGAGGAAAAGAATAAATAAATGACCTACATTTCAAAGAGAAGCGTTTCTATCCACGTAAACAAATGTGATTTTATAAACACACTTTGTTTCCTTTCTTTGTTTGATCCAACTCCTGCAATGCCAAATTCTTGCCAAGCCCCCGCCCTCTCTTGTGCTGGGCATGTGAGCACATAAGGGTTTGATAGGCTTAGCGGCAGCAGGAGGGAAATATCAACATTAAGCGGCTTCGATAGCACAAAATAATCCTCTGGCCTGCTGAGAGTACCGAGAACGACGGTAGCGGTCAGGGTGTGGCCAAAAACAAAAACCTGAATCCCAAAACACTGTGACTGTCAGGGGTGGTGAAAATGGGTCGACTCATGGACATTTTCCATTATAGAAAGAAAGAAAATATCATTCCGCACTCCAAATTTCCCCAAAAAGGACAGATTAAGGGTTCGCAGCAGGATTAAAAGGTCAGTCATGTGCATGTTTTGCAGTACGTGCAGTCTGAATGTTGGCTTTGCTTACTGTTGACAGATCCAAACTCCTTCTCGTGCGCCCTGGTCAGGATGTCTTTGTACAGAGCCTCGGCGTCTTTGAACTTCCCCTGCTTCAGGTAGCACGTAGCCTGAGGGGAAGCAAGGAGGACAATCTTTTATTAAAAAATAAAACAAGCGCTTCATCACAAGATTAACACGCAAGGTTCAGTACTGTTGAGTGAAGACTGTGTGAGTGGATTAGTTTTCATCGTGAATGTAGAACCTTAATAATGTCCCCACCAGGTTATTTTTGGTCTTGGCCACATTGGGGTCATCAGCTCCCAGTTTGGACTCGTAGATCTCCAGGGCCCGTCTGTAGTAATACTGCACCTCGTCGTACTTGCCCTGGTTCTGACACAGGAGGGCCAAGTTGTTCAGCTGCTTGGCCACATCTGGGTGAAACTTTCCCAACACCTGGAAACAAAACAGTCCTTCATTATTGTTTTATTCAGATAAACAAACACAAACAAAACTGCTCACATACATATAATCTGTATAGAAAACATTTAGAGCTGTGTTTTTTTTTTACCTTCTCTCTGATCTCCAGCGCTCTCTTGCAGAGAGGTTCGGCCTCCTTGTACTTGCCCCTCTTGCCGTACAGAACGGCCAGGTTGTTAAGGGTTGCGGCCACAGCTGGATGATCCTTCCCCAGTGTCTTCTCTCGGATGGCCAGGGCGTCATTCAGCAGGTGAGCGGCTTCCTTGTACTTGTTCTGATCTCTGGAGGCCAAAACAACAGCACTGTGTTAAAAATGTTCAACTCTGAATGTTTGTCCCAGAACCTCCTCTAAGTCCCCCCCCCACCTGTACACCAAGGCCAGGATGTTGAGCATGGTGGCTACGTCGGGGTGATCGTGTCCGGACGTCTTCTCCAGGTCCTCCAGGGCTTGTTTGCACAGCGGCACGGCCACCTCGTACCTCCCCTGAGAGGCGTACTGGATCACGAGGTTGTGAAGCGTCCTGAGGCGGGCTGGGATCTCGTAGCCTCCCTGCTGGGCCGCCACCTCGCCGCTGGGCTGGGCTGTGGGACAGAGGGGAGGATATTAAAATGTCTTACAGTATTCTCCTTTTTTTTTTTTTTAACTGTCTGTCTCCTAAGTAAATATTTGCGAAATGCCCTATGTAGACGTATAAGAAAAGCCTGAAAAGTTGTAGAAAGTGGAAGACCAACAAAGGCAATGAAGTTGAATGCCAAACCCAAGCAGGACGAGGGGACGATAAAAAAAACAAAACACATATTCAGTCAAACTCACTCGGGATCACATGATTGCTCAGGGACATACAGCCGGTTCTTGTAACAGATGCCACTATTTCTTCTTCTGTACTTTACTATTTTAATCCTACAGTGCAATATCTACTCCTAACATCACATCAAGCAGAACTAGAGGGAAATGACTGATATATAAAGAAGGTAAAAATAATAATGTCATCACAAGAGAATAAGAGCTTTATGTGTAATATAAACATATTTTTTTAAGTGCAGTGTACATAAACGAAGCAGATACACAGTAAAGCCTTTATGTTTATTTGGTTATAAATAATTGAAGAGACCAAGAGGCGAATACAAGTGCACTTACTGTCCTGCTAATGGGGAGGAACGCTGAACAAGCTATACACTGTAACACGCATATAAGTGACCTTTTCTATCTGCAATCTGCTTTCACTTTGATCCACAAATGCATTTGCAGGCTTCTGTTTAGACAGTGACTTTAGCATCAACTCAACCACAGCTCCTGCTTTTAAATACGTCCGCTCTAAACTATATCACAGCTGGGGGCCAAACTGTAGGTTAGCCACTTAAACAAGGAGCTGCTTGTGTGAACACGTGAGAACAACTCGTGTTTAAATTGCTCTTCAAGGCTTCAGGGCAGTCGAGGCCTGAACCTTTCTGTTACTGAAAGGCACGGCTGTATCGAGCACTGAGTGACTTTATTTTGACACTATACCTCCAAATAATAAAAGCATTGATTCTCTTACTGTGCATTGAGGCCTCTGTGTCCTTACTTAGCCTGAAGATAAGTTTGGGAGTTAACACCATCAACAACCTTCTATAAATTACAATACAGGCTGATTTAACAACTTCATAAAAGTATTAATTATTAACGGGACATGATCAAATTCCAAGAGTGAGTTTTGGAGATGTGCCTAAATGTTTGTGTAAAAGTTATATCCACCTTCTGAAGAGTTTTATAGCTGCAATTAAACCCTGTTAACAAAGACTGATTTCAGGGAAACTATCCTACTGAGGACCTTTTCATAGACATTGTCAGCTTTCTACAATCCATGGAAACGATGACTTACACCCTTAGACTACAGAGAGACAAGGGTCAGAAATACTGTATGAAACAGGATTGTTACTCTCAAGAAATCACAACCAATTATCTTCCTGTTGTGCACCATTACTCGTTATTCTCCTCCTGTATCAGGCACCGGGTCCTGTAAACGGTCATTTCTGGCTCTGTTGATTTGCTTTAAGTCCTTAGTTTGGGCATGTTTTAGACTAACTAGTTAATCGATTCATAAATAATACCAAATAAAGGTTACTTTAAATAGTTATGGTTCGGACTGATTTACACGCAAACAGTCATGTTATAAACACGAGAGCAAAGAAACGTTGTCTATAAAGCAAACGTGCATATAAATATGCAACAGATAGGACACCATCTTCCATCCCAACAAAGCAGATTTCATTTACAACTACTTTAATTATCAATTTATAGCTTGAGTGGATTTTCAGGGGAAAAAAACAAACAAACATTAGCCGGTGCCGGTTTCTCTTTGCTGTGTTTCTGTGTTATATGACAGTAAATTGATAATCTTTGGGTTTTGGACAGTTGGTCAGACTAAACAAACTATTTGAATCCATTTATTATCTTTCCAATTTTTACAAAAGACATTTTATAAACAAAATTATTGATCGAATAATCTAGGAAATGATCTGTAGATGAATTGATAACGATAATAATTGTTACTTGCAGCCCTACTAAACTGTGTTTTTAGCATCTTGTTATCATCTCCTGTCTGTGGTCTAATATCTGGTGCTGTCATACCTGGTCCCTGGTCGTCATCGTTGGGGAACAAGTCATCCAGACTGTCCTTTGAAGTGTCTCCTCCACTCCCACCGCCGCCTCCACCGGAGCTCTGGTTCTTCTCCTCCGAGGGCGAGACGTCATCGTCGAACTTCTTGATCTGGTTCATGAACTCCAGGTGCTTCTTCTCCTCCTCCAGCTGGGCGACGCTCTGCTCGCTGCGCTGCAGCTTGTGCTGCGTCCCCGCCAGCTCGTCCCGCAGCCACTGGTTCTCCTGGCAGAGCCGGCGCACCTGAGCACGCAGCTTCTGCTTCTCTGACTCCACGGCGCTCAGGTGACTCGATAGGGCGATGATCACCTGAGGGAAAAGAGGAAGGGACAACAAAAATGTTACTTTTACTCGCTGATATTTTAAAGATACAGCCATTTATTTTGTTAGGACTCACCTGTGCCTCTCCCAGGCCCAGCTCGATGGCCTCCAGACTCTTGCGGAGCAGCCCAGATTTCTCCTGGGCGGCGGGGGGCTGGGTGCAGTCCAGCAGAGAATTGAGGAGCTGGGCGTGTTCGCCACGCAGCGTTTCCAGGCCCTGCATGACGGCCTTAGTGTTGAGGACAATCTCATCCTGGCTCAGTCGCTCCAGGGTTTCTTCACGCGGATACACCATGGTGGACATTGCCTGGTTTCATACACACTGCGTGGACAAGAAAAGAAACAAACACAATGATAACTTTTTTTATTTAACAGTTTTTGCGGAGTGACCATTGTCTTTGTCCTGCTTGACAATTTACACACAAGCTGCTCAGCGCAACCACATCCTTCATCCGTTGCTCACTGAGGTCAAGTGCAGGTGGGTGAGGCGAGAAGACAAAATGAGACAAGAAAAGAAGAAAGGAAGGTGGAGGACAGAAAGAGGAGAAGGGAAACAGGACACAGTAAAGATGAGGAGGGAGGGAATAAAGAGAGACACTCAGTAAGAGGAAGGTCAAAAAAGAAAGAAAAACTAAACAAACAAAAACAAAAGAAAAAAGAAAGAAAAACTAAGAAATTCTCCCAAGATTCATTATGATGGTAAAAATGAGGAACAATTGTGTCAAAGCCAAGAAGTTGAATTCTACTGTTTTAATATAAAACCTCCCCGGGAGGCGTTCATATCCAATATTTCCCTGCTGCGTGTGTTTCACAGAGACAGTTTCATTACAACAAATGCCTTGCACACTAAAGTACAGCATGTGCAAAAAAAAGAGAAAGAAAATGACACTAAAAATAACCTTAATGAAGAGCACAACACTGGAGACAGCGGAAACAGGATGAGGCTAACATTCCTGAGACACATTTATTGCGTGATAGCACATTTAAATTCAATAATTATGATTGCAGAGTTTAAAGAGATGGAAAGTTTATGAAATATTAAAAACGCTGCTGCTGCAAAAAGCTTTCATCTCCCTTTTTGCCGCCTTTCCCCACAATTTTAAAAAGGTCAACAGCTACATAATGGTTTCCTATTTCATTATTACATAACGCTCCCCTTGGGTAGTAAGACAAGATAGAGAGTGCTAAGGTGTGTGTGTGTGTGTGAGTAGTATATGTATAGTTAAACTCCATTCAGATTACTACAAGAGGATTCCTCCGAGCTTGAAACTGACGCAGCAGCTGCCTGTGAGCAGTAAAGCCAGTTAAAATGAGACGCCGTCACTCCACAGATCTGCTATTTTCAACGAGAGATTGAGTCGCAGTGAGTAATCAGGTATCACAAGAGGATCTAAACCAAAGACCAGAGACGTTTAAACTGAATCAGAAATACTGACACCGTTCCATGCAGTATTTTGTCCACAGGAACGTTTATTTTGTTTCACTGTAAAATGTCCGACTCATTACTTTAAAATTAAAGGATTCTATCAAAAAATCTTAATGTTTCATGTTTATGCTAAATAATGAATGTAGGTTGATTTATCAGAGTCACTTCTGTTGACTCTCAAATGTTTATATATATTGTAATGGCCTCAATAAACTAGAACACAACAGTTTCAATGTATCACAACTGTATTTTCCACCCACTACCTTTATTCTTTATCAATTCAGCTTTCATTTCTTTTTTTTAGTTTATAGAAATGTCCCAGAAGTGACATCTGCTATTGACTACTGAAGCTTTCAGAGGACATCTCTTCTACGCAGTGGGTGATCTGCAAAAAGAAATGATTAGTCATGTGATCGGTCATCATGAGTAATGATGACCAGCAGATAAAGGAAGGCAAGTTCAGAATTCATTCCTAATGTGGCCTTTCGGGGGAAACCATTGTTAACTGTACACAAACAAATATCTAACATACATCTCTGGGGAGGGGGGGGGGGTGTCTGGTCCAGTAAACACTCACTATAGTTGATCTCTAAATATTGAGCAGCTGTAAATGAAACCGTTGCAGCAGCAGGAGGACACAGGAGCCAATTGTGCATCATCGTGACTTTCTCTCTTTCCCTGCTCTGATGGTGTAGGCGCACCTGTTCTCCCCCTCCCTCCCTCTATGTGTCTGTCTAGCTCTCTCTCTTACTCACCCACCCTCCTCCTCCCTCCCCTCCCCTCCGCCTCATACACTGACTGCAATGCACCAATATTCACACTTCCCCCTTCGCGTCCACCGAGTTAAACGCAGTAAGGGCCTGCTGTGAAACGTCAAGTTAAAAAAAACAAAAAGCTGACATCCCCGAAATGAACGTTGTCGCCCGTTTATCCCCCTTTAATTTGGCTATTTTGAGGGGAACAAGCGGATAAATGAGCCGGTGGATGGTCGAGGCCTGTGGCCGGGAGGGGCGGCAGCGTTTGGCTTGGCAGCGGATCAATCAAGGTGACCGACAAAGGAGAGCAGTGTTCAGAGAGGACGGATGTACGAGCCATGATCTGTTGAATAAATGTCACTCGCTGCAAATGAGTTGAAATGACTGGTTCCGACGTGTAACGTGTTTGTAAACAGTGCAGGCCCGAGCAACCACGATGTTACACAATACACCGCTGATGCACTTTATATCAGGCGAGTTAACACCAGCCACCACATGCACAGATAAGAATATAATAAAGACAATTTAAAAAAATTATAATAAACCGCTGTTTTATAAGTAAAAACACTGGCAGATGACACATTTACGCACCTCGCCGAGGACGTAACGTTTGATTTGACAGCTGGTTATAAAACATTTATCTACTTTAACGATATATAACTGCGAGTTCATGCTCATTTAAGTATTATCTATTCGTATTTGTATTTTTTTTTTTTTTTTTTTACCTTCATCGAAGACAAGTGCGATGCTTTCTGCCCCTCGAACAAAGCAGCAGGACAATGTTGTGATGCTCCAGACGGACCCACTTGTCAAGTCTACCAAAATAAAGCAAACCGCTTCCGGTTGGGGTTTTTCCTTTTTTTTTTTTCAAAATAAAACGTTTAACCGAAGGCAACCTGCCAAAAACACGACAATGCAGTTTATCCGGGAGGACGAATTTATACTATTAAATTAAAAAAACAGTCCTTTTTTTGTTTCCAAAACTTCTTATAGCCAAGCAATGGATGCAAACACAGTTTAGTAAATAAATAAATAAATAACGTTAGCTTGACTCTGAAGGACGCCGGGTGCTATGTATTACCGTTAACTAACAAGGTACCTGTCGTGTCCATTTCACGCTTCTTACGTTATTTGTCCGGTACAACGCACACCGAAATAGCTCCCCACACCACTCAGTTTAGTTTAATAAGATTACAGTAACAGCTAAAGTCTGTGTATTAGCTTACAGTAGCTTCTTCTCCGTCACCTTAACTTACCCAGCAAGACTGTCACTTGGCAATAGAGGACAGCAAGAAAGCTCTTAAACGTGTCCGCAAGTGTCGGTCGTTACTAACTGGTCATCTCCCCCCCGACACACACAAACAAACTTTTATTTAGTGTCTAAAAAGTGATGCTATCGCAGAAATATGACAGCTGGGAGACGAAAAATGGCTGTTCTCCCAGAATCCAACCAACCAAAGATGAAGTGAAATGTCAAGATGATTCACGTTTGCCATTTTCTCAAGCGGGGCGGGAAATGATCGTGCGCATGCGTAGAGCTGAAAGTGCCGCTGTAACTCTAGATTCTCTCATAGAGGTTTTGTAATATTTTATCTGTCCTTTTTTAAAAAGCTGAAACATTTTCCTGGACGTTTCTGTGAATTTAGTTTGAGCTAAACTGACTGCACTGTGAAGCTTGAGTATTTTGTCAGTTTAACAAAGATACAATTATTATTTTACACCATAAAGCTCCCCTAAGGCTTTAAAACATACTAATTCATATTAACTAATTAATATTGTTGTTATGTTGTTGTTAATCAATGTGTAGGTATTTTTAAAAACAGAACAGGACTGAAACGTTCACTGAATGAGTGGTAATATGATAACATACAACACCATCACTTGGTTTTGATTGACTCATATATTTTTTTTAAGTATTAGCTGGTAAACTTGGAATTAAAATAGTGTTATCAATGACTGACTCCTAGTACAAAAAATGAAATAAAATAATTAACAGGTTTTCCACAGAACAGGATGTAGGTGGAAGTGAAGTCTCTTGCTGTACTGGGGCTCTTTGTGGTCTGATGTCAGTGTGTGAGGGGGGGCAAATAGGGCATCAGGGTAATGAGAGGCTCACTGTGTACCACTGACCTGCTTCACAAGCATCATGTGCAAAATTTAATTAGAGTTTCAGTCTTTAAATCAGCTTCTGGTCTACAGCGTTTAACCATTTTAATAGTTTATACCCCGATAATAAAAAGAAACACTTTTATTCATTCAAGTATTTCTGTTGTTGGAAATATATGAGGAATATAGCTCACTATTTGGTGTAACTGCAATGGTAAAATACTTTTTTCCCCCTGCATGATAAATGCAGCCAACTTTATTAGCTTAAATTCATTTTTATTTTTCCTTTCAACCATATTTGTTCCATGACTGAGATATTTGTTTATTGATCTGTATTTGGAAAATGCTACCCATTAAATGTAGGAATGCACAATATAGATTTTCTTTCAGCAAATACCGATAATTACCTGCTTCTTATGCTCGATACCAATAAGATAACCGATCATTCTACATCTTGAGCAAAGCACATCACTATTGTTGACACAAAGTTCATCGAAAAACTTAAAAATACTTTGGCTTTCAAGGAACATAAAGCCTATCAAATGTTTTGCATTATGGACCTATAATTAAATTATCAGAATAATACATAATATCATACATTTCCTGACAGATAATTTATTGGCCCTGATATATTCTGTGCATCCCTAGTTAAATGAGTTTTATAAATTACAATCTCACCACCATCACCAGTATACATAAACTATATTAGCAACAAACACACCCAAAACATAAATGTGGTACTATATTCCAAAAACGAGAGACTGAGCTACAAATCAGGAATATTTTTATTTTAAAAAACAAATGAAACAATAAACACTTTTCATCCCACATCTGTTTGATTGACAAACGTAATCATGAAAAAAGCAGTACTACAAAACATGTCAAATTAAGAAAAACAAAAAAACAGAACTAGAATACAATATAACAAGTACTATCTGATATGTACAAGCATTATAGTTTATTATAATTATTGTTATAGGCAAAAGGCAAAAAAGCTGAAGACTGCTGCTGAAGAAACAATGGCATGTGCAAAATACTCTCCACAAGTCCACAAGCTTAGGACGCTCTGCTCCGAGCAGAACCTCGTCAGGCAGAAATCTACTGCTTTCGTAGGCAAATCCCGTTCCCATGAGGACAGACAGCAAAATTTACAAGCTGTGAGGGAATGGGGACAATATCATTTAAGATGATTTCAGAAAGCTAAGCTTGTGGAAGCCTGGTGAAGAAGACTCTCTCAATCATCAGAGGGACATATATCTGAGGACAGTGGAGAGAAAAGACACTGCTGATCACTGACAGAGATTATTGATGGACCAAACAGCTCCTAATCTCTAACCACGACTAGTCAAGGGGACAGAGGAACCCTCGTTAACACCGTCACAAACACACACAGGTACAGAGGTACAGGTAAAAACACACAGGAACAAGTTCAAGACTTACAAAGAACAACGAGCGTTTAGAAAAACATGTAAACGGTAAGCATGAAGGGGAAAGATGGTCTAAAGGTGGCAAAGACAGGAAAAGCTTCAGAACGTGGCCGTGATTTAAAAAAAGCATTCAGTTCCTCCAAACATTGAAATGATGACTAAAGAACAAGGATCACTTTGTTGTTAATGTGTTTTCGGTTTATGAGCAACCCAAACCCCCCTCACACACACACACAAATCTATCTGAATATAACCACCATTTTCTTTACATTTCAGTTTTGGCAGTGATTTGGTTTTTAATGCCTCTCTTTCTGTAGAATATTTCCAAGTTCAATTCAATCAGGGAGCCCCGGAGAGAGTCAGCCGACCTTTAACCTCCCTGCGGAGGCTGCAAGCGAAAGAGGCATCAATAAACTATAACTTTATACAATTTAGGAAAGGTTTAGTTTAACATCATTGCAATAATTAGGCTAACAACACTACAAGGCAAAGAGCATTTTGAGTTAGTAGAGGTTGTCTCTAACAGCAGACACAAGATCATTGACCCACCATTGTTACAGGTTAAGTAAAAGTGATCAAGCATTTAATTCCAAAACCTTATATAAATCTTCAAAATCCATTCTTCTAATTTAAAAATGTGGTTCCCTTTCACAATAAAGCATGCCACTAGTGACTTAATTAAAGGTTAAAATGATATAAACAGGTTAGAAGGAGCTATTACAATACATAAAGTAAGTGAAGTTTTGCATTGCCACATTTTGATGAAGGATCCCTTTGGTCCATCCACAGTATATATTCCACCAATGTTAGAATTACACTACAGATCTTCCTCATAACCTTTTCTGACTAATTAACACACACACACAATTGCAGGTCTAATGTTTAAATGTAAGTAGAAAAAGCTCTTTATAATGACCTGCTAACATCTAAACTTAAAGTATTATATTAAATTCTGTTGCACTTTGGCGGCAGCAGAACAAGTTGTGAACACGCCACGGACTGACGTTAATATTTTTGGAGCCGTAAAGCCTAATTTCACGACAGCTTTTCTAAGAGATTGCAAGGTTTTAGGAATTATTTTTTGCAATTAAACTGCGGTAGAAAGTTAATTTATTTTTGTTCAATTCATTAAAAATCACAAGCAATTTGTTCCAGTGAGAATCAAATCTTGAGTACTTTGATATAATTTAAGTGTTTTGTGGTGATTCTCTGTGGATTTGTATTCATTTGACAAACTGTCAATATAAAAAAATATATAAGTGGATATAATGTACAAAAGGGATACTTCATTGAAATTTGGCCTTACAACCTTTATTACATTATAACATTAATGAAGTCATTAGTGGCAAATTATAAACCCTTCCTAAGTATGGGTTATTTTAAAGTGATTGTACTTTTTTCTTAGCAAAGATCTTCAGATTGAGTCCACTTCCACAACAGCAAGTGTCAGTATTTTAAAATGTGATCAATTTTGGAATGAAATGATTAAGCAACCTCAATGTCAAACTACAGTACATAAATGTTCACTTATATTCAGGACTGATTCAAACCCATCAGTCAGTCCGTCTGTCTGTCAAGCCCTTAATGGTTGTCAGCAACACAAGTGAAGAAAGACTTACAGGTTCCGAGAGGCCCGCTGGCCGTTTGTCTTCTTGTTGTTTACACACATAAAAGTTGAAGAAAAGTATCCAAACTCGCTCGTATCACTGCACTGAACTCTTTTAGTCCAAATAACACCAAATGATTTTATTATAGTGACACACAACTCTAACTTGTGCCTCAAGTCGTTCACAAAGACATGTAAACTAAATTCAATACATTCAAATATTTGAGAGGACTTTAAAATCGCACAAACTGAGTGGTGGTTCAGCCGTGGCAGATGAGCTGTTAAACAGAGAGCGAACAAACAAAGCGAGCTCTGAAACCCTTCAGTGTGAAACCTCGTGTCACAGGTGGCGTCCAACAGAATAATGAGCCGAGTTTGAGACGTGCTGCCGACATCACAACCGTAACACTGTAATAAAACTCTCTAATCTACTTTTCAAAACGAACAAAAACAGCATTTAAATCAAGACGTTGGCGTTAACACTATTATAAAAAACTATTTCGCTAATACTTCACTGGAGATGGAGAGTGTTACGATGTAGGTGACACAAGGCAGAGCTACACTTTGCATTTAAAAGAAAATTGCTCCTTAGAACAATTATTATCATAAACCACTTTTGTAGATACATTCCTGTAATTCCTAAATTCAATAAAAGTGAATTTAATTTAAGATTTTGTTTAGTTTTCGAAGTTGTTTAGTGGTGGGAAAAAAAAGAAATTTGCATTCGCCTTGTGCCAGGCTACAACGTAAACAAGACGACTACTGCAGCTTTTGCAGCCTTAATCTGATAACCAATGATATTGATAATGACATCATCAACACACAGTGCCAACACACACACACACACACACACACACCCCAATTGCATGCCCTCTCTGTCACATGGTAGAAAAAGTATTCCTCCTATTTAGTGATTTTTTTTTTAGGTTTCTGACCACATTACATTTATTTCACCACACACACACACACGTGTTACCAGTTACTGTACACTCACTATTCACCTCACGACATCCTAGAGAAAGCGTGTAGCAGACCTGTGCCACAATAACTGAAACCAATGCAAATATGTCATTTTTTTTATACTTGATAAAATGATGTTATTAAGGAGAAATGCTTAAAAAAATTGATTTTCGACCAGGTCCGCTGTTTTCACTAAATAGAAAGCTGCCAGTCTGTTGCCAATAAAGAAATTCGGGGGACAACTGGCAGACGACATTGTGCTTTATTGTAAGTGATTTTTCGCAGTATGGATAAGATTTGGACTGTTTAAAAAAGCATTTTGTTGTTTCAGTTTCCTGTTGGCTCTGCTGTTGAGAGGCTTCATCTATTTTTCACCAGCTGTAGGCGGCAAACACCCAGATGTGTATTCATAAGTGCATAGCAAAAAAGAAGATAATGAAAATTGCACATTACAGTAGCCCCTGCCCTGCAACTCTTCACAAAAACTTACACTATGCATCACAAAACTGGTTTAAAGGGAAGGTTTTACTATTTTTAACTAGAGCACAATTTAAAAAAAAAGACACTTCCCTTTTATAGATATTCTTTTTTTTTTGACAGGAAACGCTTGCAATTCAACATCCAAATGACTTATTTTGGTACAGATTTTTTTTTTTTAATTATATGGAAGCCCTTGAAATGAAAAAGAAAGAAAGAATGGGACTGTTTTGAAGGGCATCGGAGAACATGTAAAAGAGAAATTCATCACATGCAAGCCTTTTATTTGACTGCAATTTGTGAGACTTTTCTTTGTGTTTTCACTGGCTCATGCAAACCCTGAAGCCCTGTTGCATTTTTATTATTATCCTATTTTTGTTTTGAGTTACTGTTCCCGGCACATGAGTGGTGTTATCTGTTAGTTCGGAGCATGCATGTGTGGACCAGGTTTTGAAGTGAGTGGGACCTCGGAGGGGGTCAAAAGTTGAGGGTCGGACTTTAAGGGCTTGAAACTGGTGAGTTGTTGCATGCTATTGCATTCCATAGAACGGAAACGTAAATGGCAGTAAGCTAATAAACTTGTGCTGTAAGCCCCTTGTAAACACACACACACACACTGTACATTCACGTGTGCATGCACACTCGTCAAACACTCACAAAAAGGGGCATTAAAGTGACTAGTAACAGCGCTGCACCCCAACACCTCCTTTCCTTCTCTCCGTCCCAAAACAGAAACAAGACAACTGTAGCCAAAAAGAAACTAAAGAAAGAAAAATAGTCCAGCCGTTCGACGTCTTCTCTCCGCTCTGCAGGTACTGAGGGCCGGGGTCTTTGCCCAAAGGTGTGACAGGATGGAGGAAAGTCGAAGGTCAAGTGAGGGTCAGAGGAGTCGGCGGGTGCTCACCCCTAGGAGGGAGGCTTGCTGTAGCCGAAAAGTCCGACAGGTAGGTATTTGACATGAGTGGGCCACTGGGCGGCCAGCTGGAAGAACTTAACGTCGTTCCACTCCACACCGTCTATGGACACTGGAGGCAAACAGAAACGACACGCAAAAAACTCAGCTGAATAACCAAAGTATTGAAACAAACACACATAAAGAGGTACAGAACCGTCAGGATCCTTCAGGCTTACCTTTCAGGATGGTCTGTTGCTGCTTGGCGGAGCAGATGAGTCGGCTGATGCCTTCAATGACCTGGCTCTTTGAATCTACATCCTTCTCCTTTGGCTTCTTTCCCAGGAAGATGGTTGGAACTGAGGAGAGGTAGAGAGAGGAATTGTAAAAGCACTGTTTGTTTGTGTGTGTGTGTGTGTGTGTGTGTGGGTGTGTGGGTGTGTGTGTAACAAGGGGTGCAACGCAATAGGCCACAGCATTATGAGAGATGTTGAATATGTAGTTCAGTGCAGGGTCGGATCAACTGATTCACTTTGTGGACTGGATTACAGCAGGTCACATAAAGAGCTTCTTAGGATGTACGCTGGGAGTTTAATGTGTTTTATTATTATACAATCAACTCTTTTGACTCTTATAATATTGCAAACCAATGTAGGGAACAAAAATGTACAACTTATCACAACCTGAACACAAACGTACACATGTTTATTGACAAAAGGCGTCGATTCAAAGATGTGATTTGAATGAAAATATATATACATAATGTTTTTATTTTATCTTCCCACTCCCAAGGACATTGTAAAAGTGATTTAATCCACTTAGAAATAAATGAGTAGTATGAAAATGTCAAACATTTTTGACCACAGCTACATATAGTCTACTAATACTAATTTAATAGTCTGCAGGTAAACAGAAAATGGAAATGTGGGGCATGGGTCAGCTGCTGCACAGTAATATTACCACTTACTGTTAGCCTCAAGTTTTTTTGTTTTGTGGGATATGATGCAGGGGAAGATTAAAAATGTCTTTAATGATTCGACCTGAGGCTCTGAGAGGAGTGAGGACTAATGTAATTTAAAGGGGAAGTCCTGAGTCACACTCTGGAATCTCTTCATAGATTAAAAGACATTAATATTATTCTTAGATAATGTCTTTAATAATATCATTATGTGCTTGGCCTAAGAACACAAAATTAATAATTTCTCTTACGTCTCCCGTCTGATTATCTTTACTCACCTTTCTTGTTCTTCTCCTTGGTGACCACGGTCATGGCCATGGTGCTGACCTGGGCCTGTGGGTCGCTGCTGCCCTCGCCTGGTAGCCTGCTGACCTGCAGCGAGCGGAAGGCGCTCTTTAGTGTGTTCTTGCAACCCGTGTCGCGCCGGTCACCGTCCCGCCGCTTCTCAGCCAGGGAGGCCAGCCAGTAATCCACCTGCAGGCCGATGGCGTCCACGCCGTGAGACATACTGGGACTTCTGTGGACAGGAAGTGTTTATAGACAATTATTAAAACAAAGGCATGAGAATCGCTTGGAGTAACATTCCTTTTAAACCTTTATTTATCCAGTGAGGTCTTTTTGTCAGCCTCAGCAGGACTTGATCTGCCACAATTCATAACCAGTTCAAAAAAGATGGACTTCACAGTTGAATTTTGTACATTATGTTCAAAACTTGCACCAAATGTGTTCTGCAGAGGGTGAAATAGAAATGCTAGAGAAGACAGCTGCTCCTCAGAGAAGGACTGCAGCAAAAATCAACTGAATCAAAAGGATGAAAACGTGACTGAAGTATCAAAGAGCCCCTCACTTCTTTGGTACTGCTGCCAGGAACAAAATATTTAACTAGTATTTAAAGTAACATCCACAGGTTTGGTGTTGTGTCATGTTGACAGTTAAGGAAACATGTTGACTACATATTACATCTGTAATTTGGAAGATTTTAGATCGGAATATTGTACTTTTCACTGCACTACTTTTATCTGACAGCTACTAGCTATTTTAGAAGTCACCATTTTACATGCAAAACAATACGAAGCATAAACTGCAGCCAACTGTACCCAACACTATGTAATGCAGCTCCATTGAGACACTACCTGGTGCACCTGCAACATTAAAGCACTGCTTACACACAAATAAATAATTTAAACACCAGTGAAATAAATGATGATTTAGAACTTAAACTAAAGTTTTGAACGTAAATGGAATATTTTTTTACATTCTGGTATCAGGGCTTTTAGAATTTGAAGATAGATGATCAGATATTTTTCCTAAAAACGGTGATAAAAAATAGAGGAAGAAAAGATAGGAAGGAGGAAGAATAATAAGCAGGTCGGTCTTACCCTTGTGCAGTCAGGACGCTGCCCATGGAGGGGGAGGAGGGGGGCGTGGCTGCCTCTTTAATCATCCCCGTGGGTGAGCCATGGGAGGGGGGAGACGTGGAGGGAACAGCCAAGCTCACCGCCACGCCTTCTTCTGTATCTCCTTGACGAGCACAAAAAAACGAACATGATCACACTATCACCGGCTAAATCTAATTAAATCAATCTGTATGTGTTAAAACTACTTCCTTACCTGTGGGAGAAGGTCCGGACTCGATAAGACCAACCTTTACTACCTGGAAAACGACAAGTCATGTCAACAACAAATCTAAATCCTCAGCAATAAGTCAGATTTGCTTTCAACCTCCTGCAATACCATCCAAAGTAAACCTATAAGCCCCTTACCCCTATAAAAGGAATGAACTTCTGGTAGGAGTCTTCATCTCGCCTGGAAAGGGAGAGAAAGAATATTAAAAGAAAACATTCAGAGTAAATCCAGTTTGTGAGACCGTGTGTGTGTGTGTGTGTGTGTGCGTGCTTGTGTTTGTGTTTGTGTGGGGGTGTGTGTGTGTGTGCACACTCACGTCCTGTGTTTGCAGGTGAGCATGGCCTCAGCGATGGGCAGCTGGTGTGTGACTGTGGCCCCGCTAATGTACTGGGCGATTCTTGCCGCTACATCCAACTGATCTGGAGGTGACAGAAAAAAGGCAAAATTCACTCATGGACAGGAACAAGTGTGTGTGTTTGTGTGTGTGTGTGTGTGTGTGTGTGTTTGCATTCATTTATCATCCGCAAAGGTTGTTTATCTGTATGACGGACGGGTGGTACCTGTCTGTGGTGGCTCAGAGCGGCTGAACACGTCTCTCCAAGCCCCGTCCAGGAAGGAGGAGCTGTAGCGGTTGTCAAGGGCGCCGAGGTGCTTGGCAACCGGATGGGAGCCTGATTTGGATTAGAAGTGCAACAACAAAAAGTATAAACAAAAATGCGAGCATGTCATCCCTCAAACATAAAGTGAAGCCAACTTTTAATGGAGGTGCAATTGTAGCGCAGCAAATGCAGACTGTGTGCAATCATGTCCGAAAAATGAAGGTACAGAGGGTTTGTCGCTCCCCAAACAGTTCCAGCCAGAATAATAAAACCTTGCTGCAGCATGACTCTGCAAGAACTTCTTAAATCACCATGGAAACACAAGCAGACTCTCTTACCCAGAGGCACAACCAGGAAGCGCATGTGGTTAAGCCAGTCGGATGTTTTGTTGGCGAGCTGAGTGACAAAGAACTGCAGGATGGCTCCCAGGTAACTCTGGCCGCCCACCGCCGCCACCTTCACCGCTCTGGGCATGGACGAGTTACAGTTACAGCTACAGGGACAGACAGGGAGAGAGAGAGAGAGTGGTGCTGTAAAGAAGTGGATCCACTGGAAATTCATCACACTGTCTCATCCATCAATGCCTTTGAAAAAACACCTTAAGAAAGATTGAAGTAAACAGTGGAGACAAGAAAACCTATCACACAGAAAACTGACCTGCTACAAATCCCTAAAATTCAGCTGGTAGGAGGTCTAACCGACTTAAAGAAAAGAAATTTGAACTTGAGATTGAAAGAGGTTTCTATATGAAATTATGTGAACCATCAGGGGGATGTATCTGTAACCTATGACAATAGAGATACATTTCCTTAAATGTTTAGTCTAGAAGAATGTCAGAAAATTGTGAAAAGTGTCCAATATGACATCTTAAAAAACTTTTGTCTAACCATCTGTCCTAAACCCAAAGATATTTAATTTATTCATTTCATATAAAACAGTGAAAATTAACAAATCCTTACATTTGAGAGACTGGGAATCATGAGTGTTTGGCATTCTGCATTGAGAAATAACTTAAAATTAACTAATTATTAAACTTTTTTATAAATTTTCTGTCAGTTGACTTAATTGTTTGAGCCTTAAAATTATATATAATGAATGTTAAAGCTTTTATGACCCTGACTTATAATGAAAAACGTACTTTACTTTATAAAATCAAAACAACTCTGACATATTTGTATATAATCTGTTTATAACAAGTTTGTATCTTAACCACCACTGCTTTCTTTTTCTTTATCCCCTATTTTCCTTTATATTCAAGTCCAGTAAGTAAACAGAGAGAGACACACACAGGAGGGTCAAGAGATGGAGAGAGAAGAAGGAAAAGATAAGGGAGATACATAAAGCATTGTTTTGGCATAAACAAAAGTAAAGTGGAGTCATAAGGGCAAAGATGAGGAGGAGGGAGAGATGTGGAGGATGGATGAGAAGATGAAAAAAGGGTCAAACAGAAAAAATAAGTCTTAGAGCGGCAAAAAGACCAAGAAGATGAGTCATCCTGCAAACCAACTCAGAATGTGTGTTCTTCTGTGTGCCTGTGTGAAAAATACTCACAATTTCTGGATGCGAGTGAGCACGGCGGACAGCACGGCCTGGATTTCGGCCGCTGAACACGTGCAGACCACCGGGTGTCTCTGTACCTGGAGCTGCTCTGCAACATACTGCGAACACAAGGAGTAAGATGTTTAATGAAAACCACAAAGCAGATGTTGTTGGAAAAGGCATCTCACACGCACACACACTCTTTAGCCTTACCTGCCCCTGCCAGTCAGTGCCGTTGACCAAGATGAGGCTCTCTGGGAGCGCAGAGTCGGACAGCAAAATCTGGTTCAGTTGGTCGTACACTACCTTCCTCAGGAGCTACACACACACACACACACACACATACATGTTGAGTACATAAACCAACCTACAGTGACACATTTACTCTGCAGATGACTCATCTGCCCATGCATAATTCATGTCTGAGCTCCGAGCAAGTCGTAGATTATCAGGATGCATTCTTTACTTTGGGAAAAGACAAGAAGGGAGTGGGTGGAGGAGGACACAGAACAAAGCCAGCTAAAGTGTAAATCCCTCTTTCCGCATGCTGGGGTTAAAATGATGCTGGAACTCATGATAAGATCCTGGAAAGTGTCTTTGTTAAAAGGCTAACTCACTGGTGTGCTGTGTCCCAGCTCCGGGGATCTCTCCGAGTCCGAGCTGTTGGTCCGTTCACTCAGAGGTTTGGACAGCTGTCTCTCCTTCATTGGAGTGCTTACACGCTTCTGTCGGGGTGTGTGGCCTCCGTCCAACCTGGGGTGGGATGGAAAGCATAGTTAAAAACTGTTTTAAATGCAGGGAACGAAGTAAACAATATTTCTTTCCTCAGAGAAGCTAATAGATTATTGCCTAAGAGACATGACAAGACTATACGTTGGACGCTTACTAATCATAGCTCGTTTATTTTTAAAACTTGCATCACGTACGTATGTAGTTGACTGATAAAAGGTGCCTGGCAGCCAAACCAATGTTTATGTCACGGTTTTATAAAAGAAAGTGAATCTGGAACCATTTATTGTCACATGAAAGAGGTGAGGCGAGTGTGTGGGTGTGTGTCACACATATATGTGCAGAAAGTGACATCATACCCACAAGTTGGTTTCCGGTTCACAGACACAAGATGTAACAAAGTTCTTGATAGCCCACATCTGTCGGGTTTGGCCACTTCTGGGTTGATTTTGTGAAACCTTATGACTTTGGCAATTACAGGCTAATATCAGATAGAATTTCCCTTCGTTCCCAAAGATTCTTTTGATTCAGCTGCTTTGAAAGACATTATCGCTGGGTGACATTACTGAGAGCAAGGAAAATAGGACTATAAAAAGGAAAGTGACTCATTAATGTCATCTTAAAACTAAGAAGCTAACAGTAGCCACCATGTGACTGGTCATTTCAGACCAAGAAAAGCTGAATCACTGTGTTGCATTGAAAGGAAAGGAATAAATGAATAAATCAGTGTTCATTCGTCAGCCAATTTATGTTTTTTATTTATTTTCTTCTTTAAAAAGGCCTGGATCTTTAATTAAAAAGTGATGCATTTAACTTATATTCAAATTTTTACACAGTTTTTTGTAATTTTGGGGTGATTGGTTACCTTGGTGATGGCATGGCCTGGGTTTCACTTTTGCTGCTCTTCAGGGGTGTACGGGGTTTCTCTGCCACTGACACCATGATGCAGGGGCCCACCTCAGCAAACAGCTCCTGATCTGTTAGCTCCTACACACACACATTCACACACACACACACACACAAAGACAGACTGTCGGTGTCAGAAAAAGGAGATACTGGCAATCCTAAAGCAATCATCTCTGTCACTCCATCACTTTTTTTTCCTCCTTTTCTTCTCAGTCTCTCTCAATTTGTCTCACTTACAGCACAGATGGCAGCGAATCCCCCTTGGAGTGATATTAACAAAGATCCTGACACAACATTAATTCTGTCTCCTTCATACACACACACACACATTATAAGAGTCGTACCAGTGTGTCGGTCTCAGACAACGCCTCCTCCAGGTTGCGGCTGCGGGAGGGTTTCATCTTCTCTAGAGAAGGCTGCTCCCCCTGCTGGAAAGACAAGGAGCCGTCAGTCTACAGGCCTAATGAGGCTTGAGAATCAGTGAATAAAAGGAACAGAAGTCAGTAAGCAGCAAAAGGAAGGAAAAGTGCATCCTAACCAATCTAAAATAACAGCTGTGATGTCCAGATCATATTATTTTTATCTGTTTTTATTGCAATATGCAGTGTTTCCCACTAATAAATTGGATTTAAAACTATCTACTGAAACGGAAGCAGACGTTTCCACTAAAAACGTGTTTGGAGGAAGTGTGCAGACACTAGTCAAAACAGTAAAAGGCTCGCTTCAGTATTACTATGAAAGGAGGAACTGCAGCAGAGAGACATCCACTGAAATCCGTTCAGCTCAGCTAAATTAAACACACTTTTTATTGAGCAGATGGCGACTGTCAAAGAGCTATTGGATTTGTGCTCCATTAAGAAAACATTTCTGAAATGTTATATTTGCAAACTACTTTCCCTGCTGGGCAATTTTCATGAGCTTCAGATTCTGGATGTTTAACACATCAATGCAGAGCCACATGTTGTTTTCAAAGCTTGTGTTGCTTCGCTTTATGCCGATTTCTTATGTTGTATGTTACTGTATGCTATTTAGTGCCACTGTTTTAGTACAGTTTATTATATTGCCACATGGAAACCGTGAGTGTGAAGCAAATGACTATTAGGTTAGTGCTATGTGAATTAAGTTATTATGACAACATTCATATGTGTGAATGATTTCCACACTGCAGGATGAGGTGAATGGAATTATGGCAACAATTCCCATGATGCTTAAAATGTTTTGGTTTAAATAAAATGAAAAATAAAATGACAAAAACCCTACATTTACAGAAGCTAGGAAGGAAAAGAAACAAAAATGCAATTACTTATTAATATAGCTGTGGGGGAAAAAATATCTTCGATCAAAACAAAATAAGTTGAAGGCAAAAAGAGCCAAATGTTAAAAGGGCCAAGATCAATGATCTAAGAAATTTTTTGGGTTTATAATCCCTTCTATCTACTTTCACCCATCATCACTGTATATTGCATATGCTGAATGGTTGTGACCAGTTCAATTAAAGAGTGGTTATTTTTCTCAGATTGCCTAATCTAATAGTTTTTAAAGGCCTGAAGAGCAACCTTTACCCACCAATTAATTTTAAAAAAGCAAATTTGAAGAAAATCTGAAAAAATCAACCTAATTTTTTTTATTTTTTTTTATTTTTTTATTTTATTTTCTACGCCATGACAACCCTTTAGATTTATTTTGTTATTTATGTGATGAAAAATGCAAACAGCTCACAGAGGTTTTATAGCATAGAAATGATGGCCGTAAAAACTTTAAATCAGCAATAATTCATTTATAGAAAATCTTTCAGGTATTATGTAGTCCTGTGGTGTGTGTACTGCACCTGAAACCTGTGTCTTTTGTACACAGTTTAAATGAGATCTTTCTGTAAAGTCAGACGCCCTTTGGGGACGATAAAGTTTTACTGCAGTCAGCTCCTGGTGAGACGGGGGAAAAAACCCACCACAGAGGGTTCAGGTTTTCTTGAGCACCACACAAACGATCCACAGCTCACATAAGTGAAATTCCTGCTGATGATGCAGCTGCTGCTGCTGCTGCTGCTGCTGATGCTTCCCCCGTGGACTTGAGTTACTCACCGGACTGAAAATGTCTCGACCCAAACTGCCTTTGCTGTTCAGACTGCCGATCTCCGTCTGGGAGCTGGACTGGGACATTCCCTCAAAGAAAGGCCTGCACACATGGAGACAGAAACATGAGGAGACTTTATTCAAATTTCTACAGCAGGACATTTTGACCTCTCTCAGCAGGAAGAGCTCCGGTGTTAGTAATAACATTAATGATGACTCAGTTGTATTTAAGTGTCCCAGTGAGCCAGAATGCACAATACCAAGACCCTGAAACCTTATACCTGTGCTTTTCTACTGTAATGTGTCAAAATGTCTTCAATGAAAAAGGCCTATTATCTTTTATTGCTGGCTTCTAAAACAAACCTTAACAGAACTGTGGCAGTGTCTTATGAATCATCATATTTTATCTATCAAGCTCCTTTGCTTTTCAAATTTTATGACACAACAATATAACCGGTTGTAAAGCCGCCTTTCACTATCGAATAATGCTATTTTGTGTGCTTTATTTGTAACAATTCAACAGCATAATAGTTGAGATTCTGTGTAGGTGGACCATACAAATAAAGTATTATCAAAAAAGGATACAGAGGCAAAAAAAGTCCAACGCGAAATAGAAAGTACACAAGATAAAATTACAGAAGTATTAAAATAAGTTTGAAGAACTATTAAAAATGGTTCTCCGTTTGAAATGTATTATTGACATAAGAACATTTGACTCATCCAGTTACTCTTGATGCTTTCAGGCTTTTTTGAAAATAATGATGAAGATCACACCCCAAGCTGCGAGTTAGTTTATAGCTTTATAAATCAATACATTTCTTTTCATATTCCGAGGATTCAAAGTTAACTGACCCAATTCTGGTTCATGTAAACTTCAAATAAACTTCAATATATTTGAGTGCAATGAGTGGTTTTTACCAACAGAGGGGGCTCTGAATTGTCAATGGAGAAAAGTGAGTCAGTGTTTGCAGGTACTGCATGTGTCAAGCATAGTGTTTGGATAGATATGTCTAGCTAGGTGACTATGCGTACTGTTATTGTGTGACTAGTGATATTACATCTGAGCCTGTGTTATTACCGTAGCTTAGGTTTGGGTGTGCTGAGGATGCTGTCGGTCTCCTCCATCTCAGGCCCGCTGTCGCTGGGGTTGTACATTTCCAGACTGTCGTACAGCTCGTCAAGGTCTTCCTCCACCTCCTGAATCTGCTCCCTCGACACATGCTCCAGGCCGAAACCAACCTGGACGAGACACAGAGGAGACAAGTGACCAACGGCAACACGCGCAGTAAGAACTGCTCATGCAGCTTTGATTACCTCTGTTCACACACACACACACA